CCCCCTCCCCAGCGCAGCGAATGAGTGGGACTGTTTCGTGAATAAATGGATATTTTTTTAATGGAAGAATCGTTTAATGAAGGAATGAATGAACGAATTGTCTAGTAAATTAATGCATGACATGTTTAGTGAATGAAAGAATCATTTACTAATGAATGAACGAATCATTTAGTAAATAAACGAATGACTCGTCTAGTAAATAAATGAAACGCTTAGTGAATTAAAAAATATATTGTGCATGCATGAACGAATCATTTTGCAAATGAATGAATGAAGGAACGAATGTTTAGGAAGTAAATGAACGAATTGTTTTGTATATAAATCAACAAATTATCTAGTAAATTAATGAACGAATCATTTACTAAATGAACGCATGAATCGTTAGTTCTCTCGTATAAAGAATCAGTTAAAGATCTTTTGAATGAGTTAATCCCCGCATAAATGGATGGACGAACTGAGAAATAGATTTATAACATGCCTCTCTCTTGCATGCTTTTCGAAATGAAAATGAACGTATAAATGAAATAATTTTCGATTGCCCTGTGAAGTAGAAGTAAGAGTAAAAGGCGTAAAATCGAGCGTGATTTGACAGAGAACGTTGCAGGCGCAGCAGCGGTGGTAAATGAATGACGAATTATCTAGTAAATGAATGAATGTAAGAAGTGATTAATGCTCTCTTAATTGGAAGAATAAATTCATCTCATAAAGAAATGAATGAACCAAAATAAAAATTAATGAATTGCCTCTGTCATGAACATTTTGCGAATTGAATATGAATTAATAGTAATTAAATATCGATTGCTCTCTAAAAGGACACATTTAACCGTGCAACGTCCTGTCTACTTCGGTGGTGGACTTTTTAGGCAGAGCGGCTATAGTAAATAAATGGACCATCATTCTGCAAATAAAGGAATAAATCTCTATTAAATGACTGAACAAATCTCTAGTAAATGACTGAACGAATGATCTACTAAATTATTGATCGAATATTTTAGCAAATAACTGAATGAATCATTTAGTAAGGGACTGAATGTATCATCTAGTAAAAGGCCGAGCGAATGATCTTGCAAATGACCGAACGAATCATTTAGTAAATGACTGAACGAATCGTGTAGTAATTCACTGAACGAATTAACAAGTAAATGACTGATCGAACCACCTAGTAAATGAACGAACCACCTAGTAAATGACTGATCAAACAACCTAGTAAGTGACTGAACGAACCACCTAGTAAATGACTGAACGAACCGCCTAGTAAATGACTGAATGAACCGCCTAGTAAATGACTGATCGAACCACCAAGTAAATAATTGGACGAACAACCTAATACGTGAACGAACGAACAGCTAGTAATTCACTGAACGAATGAACAAGTAAATGACTGATCGAACCACCTAACAAATGACTGAACGAACCACCCAGTAAATGTCTGAACGAACCACCTAGTTAATGACTGAACGAACTACCAAGTAAATGACTGCACAAACCACCTAGTAAATGTCAGAACGAATCATCTGTACAAACGAATCATCACGGAAATGACTGAATGAACGATCCCGTAACTGAATGGCAGCGTGCGCGTCGGGCGTTGCAGGCGCAGCGGGGGCGGGGGCGGTCTGCTGGGCGAGCGGGCGCGCTCGCGGTCGCGCAGCGAGAGCCGCGAGCGGGAGCGGGAGCGGGAGCGCGCGGCGACGGCGCCGTCGGCCGGCGGCCGCGAGCGCGAGCACGCGCGCCACGCCAAGGAGCGCGCCCACCAGGCCAAGGAGCAACAACAGCAGCAGCAGCAGCAGCAGCAACAAGAGGAGCAGCGCGGCAACAACGCCAGGGCGCCCAGCGCCAGCGGCAGCAGCGGCCCCGCGGCCGTGCTCTCCTCGCTCTTCAGGTGCGCTCGCGTTACGCGCTCTGCAGCACTCCCTCCTTCAGTCCTCTCGCCCGGTGCCTTCTCACCCCCTCTGTCTCCGACTCTTTATCGCCCTCCCTCCTCACCGATTCCTTTCTATCTCCTTCCTTCTTGCCATCTTCCTCTCGGCTACCTCTCTCCAACCTTATCTCCTACTCTCCATTCCTCCCTCTCTCTTCTCTTCCTTACTTTCGTCTTTGCTCTTGCCGTACTCCCTCTCGTTCTCGTCCTTCCCTCCCTATCTTCTACTTTTCCTCTCCCTCTGTCTATCTCGTTGTCCTCTATCTAGCCCTCCGGTCCATCACCACACACTCTCTTACTTCTGCCTGGTTATTACCTTTCTCATTCTTTCCCTTCTTCTCCATCGTTTTCTTCCTTCACTCTCTCTTAACCTCCCTCCCTTTCACTTTCTTCCCACTCTCTCACAATTCTTCATTCCCCCTCTCTTTCTCTCTATCTCTGTCTCTATCTATCTCTCTCCGTACTATCTGATTCTTCCTACTTTTCCTCTCAATCTCATATTCATTTTTCTTCCGTCTCCGCTCTCTCTGTCTCTTTCTGTCTCTCCTTCTTGCTGCCCCTCCACTTCCTGTCTCCCTCCTATTTGTGTCCCTCCCTCTTGATTTTTCATTCGAATGCTGTACGAAATACGTCCGCGTTTATGCGGCTTGTAGGGTTTCTTGTGATGCACATCCTTTTCTGCACGAACGCACATTACTCTAAATAAAAGCCTTTTTTCTATTCGCATGATTTTTTTTACATGCAGCTGTAATGTAATGTATGTATTTATTTATTTTATTACGTATTTATGAATATGTTTATTTATATATTACTAATGTTTTTTATTCTATAGATTTATGAATATGTTTATTTATGTATTTTTAATGTTTTTTGATTGTATGTATTTATTTATTTGTGAATTTACGTTTTTGTGAATATATTTGTTTATTTTCGTACTTATGAATTTATGAATGTATTTATTTTTTTTAATTTATTTTTATTTTCATTAAATTTTTATTTTTATTTACATACTTATTTATGTTTTATTTATTTTTATTTGTATTTTTATGAATTTATGTATTTATTAATGTATTTCCGTTATTATGAATTTATATATTTAGGAATTTACTTTTTTAGAATGTATTTCTGCATGTGTGAGTGCGCGTGCGCGTGCGCTGCGGGGCGCGAGGCGTGTTCGTTCGAGGTGAGTGACGCGCGCCTCGTGACGCCAGGCGCGTTTGCAGGCGCAGGCACCGCGGGGGCGCGTCCTCCAAGCGGCAGCCGGCGGCGTCGGCGCAGCGCTCCCCGGCCGACGACCCCATGGCGGCGGTGCACTTCACCTTCCAGCAGCAGGCGGAGCGGGAGAAGCAGAAGAAGGAGCCCGAGCCCGACTGGATGTTCATCCCGCTCACCGACCCCAACGACCCGCCGCCGCCCCCGCTCGAGGGCGAGGGCGAGACGCTGCGCACGCGGCCGCGCCCAGGTACGGGCAATGGCAGGCGGCGCCACTCGGCACTGTCACGACGCGCCACTCGGCACGGAACTAGTTGCGCCACTCGACGCTGTCACGATGCGCCACTCGGCACGATCCCCATGCGCCACTTGACACTGTCATGATGCGCCACTTGCCACGGTCCAGTTGCGCCACTCGTCACGGGACAAGTTGCGCCACTTGACACTGTCATGATGCGCCACTCGTCACGAAACAAGTTGCGCCACTCGACACTGTCATGATGTGCCACTCGTCACGATCCCCATGCGCCACTTGACACTGTCATGATGCGCCACTTGCCACGGTCCAGTTGTGCCACTCGTCACGGGACAAGTTGCGCCACTTGACACTATCATAATGCGCCACTCGTCACGAAACAAGTTGCGCCACTCGACACTGTCATGATGCGCCACTCGGCACGGTGCCGATGCGCCACTCGTCACGGAACAACTTGCGCCACTCGACACTGGCACGATGCGCCACTCGTCACGATCCCCATGCGCCACTCGTCACGGAAAAAGTTCCACCACTCGACACTGGCACGATGCGCCACTCGGCACGGTCCAGTTGTGCCACTCGACGTTGTCACAATGCGCCGCTAGCCATGGTTACCCCGCGCCTCTCGAGACTGTTCCGATACGCCACGGTCTGGCTGAGCCACTCGCCACACTGCCGCGGCGCCTCTCAAGTCAAGTCAGGATGTACCACTTGTCACAGATCCTCGCCGCCTCTTGACATTGCCCCGACAAGCCCCTTTCAACGGCTGGCTGCGCCACTCGCCAAACGTCTTGGGCGCCTCTTTACACCATCTCTCTGCGCCACTGGTCACGGTCGGGCTGCACCACTCGTCACACTCCCGGGGCGCCACTCTATACAGTCCTGCAGCGCCACTGCACACGGTCCGGCTGCGCCACTCGCCACACTCGCCAAGGCGCTACTGGCCATGATCGGTCTGCGTCGATCGCCGCAGTCATAGTGCACCAGTTCTGCACCTCGCGGCACAGTCCCGTTGCGCCGCTCGCCACACACACCCTTAGTTACTCTTCACAACTCCGATGCACCACTCAGCCCCGACCTGCTGCACGGGAGCGAAGCTGAGTGGTGACGATCAAACGGAAGCGAAAACGAGTGAGAGGGATGAGTGGGGCGATGCCAGTGTGGTGTGAGAGTGAGCCATCCTCAGAGCGCTCGTGCCGCCGCCGTGCCGCGCGCGAGCGTGCGCGTGTGTTTGCGTGCTTAGGGGAAGAGACGGCGCCTGAGCTGCCGTCGGAGTCTGTGATGCTGCCGGCGCCGGCGCCCCTCGCCGGCGCCTCGCCGCGGGACAGCGCGACGCGCAGGTGGGCAGACGGCGAGCGCCACAACGCGGGC